TAGCAGCCGAACTCTGACGCTGAGGTTGATAAGACTAGTCCATCTGTAATTATATTTCGCGATGAGGCTGGGATGCAGCCCGCGGCCTTTATCGGGCCAGAGCCGCCCTGCCTTTACTATTGCCCCTCTCGTGCGGCCCGTTTCACCTGGTGCTAGGCAACGACTGCGAAAGGCACAACAGCGCGGGAAACTGTAGCAGCTGGCGCACACAAGGAGCGCTTCGTTTAGAGGACAGGACGGCCATACCTGAGCCTTGCCAGATGGACCTCAAGTTTCGCACGCGCTACAGTCTGAAGGCGTGAGACGAGTTTTTTCAACGACCTTGCGCTTTCAGACAGCACTTCACTGCTGTACCATGTCCGCGGCCAAGCAAAACAGCACAGATGCACACAGGCACGGCACACCTAAACCGTCCATCACTGCCGTGCCGTCACTCCGGCACGACTACGTCTCCTGCAGAAAGCATTCCAAACGACGAGCCGGAAGATGTCACCACACACTCCCAACGTCCGTACGGTAGACGACCATCGGCGACAGACACAACTTTAACCCCGACTGACATGATACAAGACACCACCGCGTCTCCGCGGCAGCTGGGCGACGCACACCCGCCCGAGCGTCGCCGGGGCTGCCTCACCTGGAGTCCCAGTTGTCGGTGCCGGGGTCGTACTTGTAGGTGGGCCGGAACGTCACGGGCCCCTCCTGGTATCCCTGGAACACCCTGCCGGCGGCCAGCTGCAGCCGCAGCTGGTCAAACTCCATCACCTGCGGCAGTCGGCATCCTTCAGTCCCGGAGCGCTCGCCGCACCCCCCCCACTGTCCAGTCAAGAAACGGAGAAACAGATGAAATAATTCCTCACGAATGGGGAAATGCATCAAATTTAGTCAGATGCCTAAAGACTACGGTGGCAACACCCTTCAGGCGAAGCAGCTGGTTGAAACACTGGCCAATGCCCAGGGGTATACCAGACGCTGGACTATTATACCAAGAGGACAGCACCCATCCAACCATTGGCCGAAGTCCGTCTGGGACCGGGGCTGGCGCCATGCTCAGCTCCAGACACCCCACCCACGCCGCGGCGGCCGACCCCAAACGGTCGAAGCGCCGCACCTGGCCGTCGGTGTGGCGCCCTCCCGTGCGGTCTGTCGAGCGCTGCCGGCGGCGCTGCGGCCGCTGCCGTGCCACCGAGCACGCCAGCGTGACGGCGGCGGTGGCGGCGCAGCTGGCGCGCGGCAGGGCGCCGCGGCGGCTACAGGCTGTCCCGCAGCGGCGCCGCCCGCACAGCCGGCCGGCCGCGTCGACCGCAGGCCGCGCCGCCGCGCGTCCCACGCCGACGTCTGACGAGCGTGGCGTGCCCGGGCGCGGCCGGCCACCGCCTTATAAGCGCGGCCCGGCGCGGCTTCGGCACAGCGGCGGCGGCGCTTCTCCAGCCCGACACCGAGCACCGACATGAAGCTTTGCGTGGCGCTCGCGGCGGTGCTGGCCGTCGTCTTGGCCGGGGTAAGTCTGCCCGTCGTCCTCGCCGTTCGGTGGCGCCGGCACCGCTCCGCGCCGGGAACACGGCAGTATCGGGAGCCAACGGGCGCCGCGCCGACCGCGCCGCCGGCGAGGCGCGCAGCCACGCTGACAGAGACGCAGCGAGGTCTCCGTAGCGCCCGGCGAGCTGCCGCTGGCACCGGCCGCTCGCGTCCTGCTCGTATTGGAGCCGGTGCCTGACGGCAGCCGCCGCACGCTTTTTCGGCGTCGCTGGCAGTGGCTGGGGCCATGCAGTGCCGGGACTGGGAGATGCCTGCGACAGCTCCCACACGGTCGCTGTTCACTTTCCATCTCCTTTTCAGCCGATGAACAAGTCGCCCGCGGATGTGCCTCCCATCCGCGACCGGGCGTCCGAAGACTGGCAGAGAGTCGCCCGACCTCCGACTGAGCGCGACAACGAACACGAGCGTGCGCCCCCTGAGCCACGCAACGTCGTGGACCAGCGCGCGCCCCCTAAGCAACGCAACGGCGTGGACGAGCGCGCGCCCCCTAAGCAACGCAACGTCGTGGACCAGCGTGCACCCCCTAAGCAACGCAACGTCGTGGACGAGCGCGCGCCCCCTAAGCAACGCAACGGCGTGGACGAGCGTGCGCCCCCTAAGCAACGCAACGTCGTGGACCAGCGTGCACCCCCTAAGCAACGCAACGTCGTGGACCAGCGTGCACCCCCTAAGCAACGCAACGTCGTGGACCAGCGTGCGCCCCCTAAGCAACGCAGCGTCGTGGACGAGCGAGACATCCTTACGCAACGCAGCGTCGTGGACGAGCGAGACATTCTTACGCAACGCCAAACAGTGGATGAGCGCGCACCTCCTAAGATCCGCCAGGAGGATGAGCAGCGCGCGGCGCCGCCCCAAGACCGCGCCGACTCAGGTCGCCCTGATCAAGAGTTCCCAGGCGGTCCCCCCGGCCGCCAGCTCAGAGGTAAGGCCGCTTCGCCATCGCTCCGGCCGCCAATACCGAGCGGCCGGGCAGGCTCGTCCGCACGCCAGCCAGCCGCGCACGCCGCGGTGCTGCACCGGGCCGAGCCCGACTTGCAGTGCGCCAGCCGACGGCGGCCGGTCGTTGACCCTCCCCGCCGCTGTTGCAGGCGACGTCCTGGACCGCGGCGTCAACTGGGTGCCCGCGAAGCACGGCGAGTTCCCCTTCATGGTCCGGGTGAGTGAGCGCGCCGCCGCACCGTGCACGCGGTGGCCCCGACCGCCCCGCGCGAGACGTCGGACCAGGTGCCGAGGCCGCGCGCAACGCGCCCATTTGCGGGGTCCTGTGGCCAGAACACCCGACCCAGAACGATTGGACGTTTTACGTGCGAACTGCAACATGCAGCAACGTTCCTGGGGATAGAGTCCTGACTTTCCACCACGGGATGCCGTGTCATAAATGCTCTTCTATCTCAGCACGACTTCTTGCAAGTCGAGAACGCCCAGAATAGTCCCGCGCGTTGCCTTAAACGCACACTGAGTTGCAGTTTGCCTGGCCACTAACTCCCGAAGTGTAACCCAGCTCGCCGGGCACAGAGTTGCCTCTGCACCAGCTGTCAGTGCGCAGCTCGCTTACAGCACCGCCACCATGTAGCTCCGCTCGCCGCCCGGCCGCTGACCACCGGCATAGGGCTGCTCGACGGCGTGCGACCCGACCGTGCGCTGACTCGGTGCCATCGTGTCACGGTCCCCAGATAGCCGCATACTACAAGAAGCCGGACAGCTGGTACCACGAGCCGTGCGGGGCGTCCATCATCGCTCCTAACAGGATCCTGACCGCCGCCCACTGCTTCGACCACCAGAGGGCGTGAGTGCGGCGCGCCGGGTGGGCGGTGCTGAGCTCAGGGTGTGCTCCCCCCCCCCGGGCGGCCGGCGCTCGCGCCGTCCTCGCTGTCCGCCAGAGTTCCAGCTTTAGCAGCTGAGAGTTAGTCGGAGCTCACAAAGCGGTGGTGATTCAAATTCAGAGCAGATATGAGAGCCAGAAATGTGGCCCATTCGCCTGGGAACGTTCACTCGCCGCCCGGGACGGGGAGAAGGGCCACCTGCGATTGTTAACATGTCGATGTCGTGCAATGGGCAGATCGCACTCCCTAACCGCACGTGACCGCCCGTGGCTGTTACCAGCCACACAAGTACACCGCTATCGGCCAGTCGTTACTACTTCTCGTAAACAGTATCGGTTGGCCAAAACCCACAGCGGCCGCTCCACAACCAGCCCACTGTTCTGCGACCAACAACGGCAGCCCGCAGCCGCTACTGCTCGCACAAACCACGGCTGACCATTGGCAACCATCTGCAGCCAGCACCGGCCTTTCCTGACACTGTGGCCCACTGCCCACCACTCCTGCTGCCCTGTCGCTGCCACGTGCGCCCTGCACCGGCAGCCGCAGCCCCTGCTGACCGTTCTTGACCGAAGGCGACCACCCGTGGCCAAAACTGATCACCCCACCCCGCTGGGCTGCAGCAACGGAGGCCTGAACCCGGCACTGGTCTACGCTTACTTCAACGACTTCGACACCACGCTACCGGACGAGACGGCCACGAGCACTGCTACCCAAATCATTATGCACCCTCATTACTCCCAGGTAAGACACCGTCCGTCACAGGCCACCCAGCAGTCTCCGGCTCCAACATAGCGACCCGCACGTCATACCCCGTCCCCCGGTTACAGTGTCGCGGCTTGGCGTCGGCCCATTCCGCCCCGCTCCGACCACATCACGGCGCGTGTGAGCGCATACCGCGACACATTCCCGCCGGCATCGGCGGCGCCGTCGGGGCGCCGCGCCGGCGGTCGGTGCTCCGCGCGCGGTCGTGGGCGCCGGCGTCGGCGTCGGGCGTCGGACGTGCCCAGCCGGCCGCCTCCCTCACTGCCGCCGGCGTGCCGCCGCGTCGCCGACCGCTCTCTCCCTCCGCCGGCAGCACCCCCACCCGACCAACGACATCGCCGTGGTGGTGATGGCCACAACGCTCACCCTGGCCAAGCGCGGCTTGCAGCCGTCAGCCATCTGCCTCAACAGACACACAATCACTGGCAGGCACGACGTCACCATCGCCGGCTGGGGCAAGAAGAAGTCCACCGGTAAGCGGCGTCCGCCCTGCCGCAGGGGCAGAGCCGAACTTGGCGCTGCCGCCCGCCCACCGCAGCCGAGCTGCGGCCAGTCATGTCGTGGAACCCCATTCGGACAGCAATGCCAAGCCCAAACAATAACTGTTCGGGTAACAGTAACTGCGGCTGTGGCTATTCATGGGTACCATCTTTACTAGGTCCGTATCGATTCCCTTACAGCAGCTGCCTGGAGCCAGAGCCGCTGCATGTCCGCGCGCCCAGAGGCCGGGGGCCTACTGAGCAGCCTCGTGGTGTCAGTCGGGGGGCTCCACCCTGCGTCCACCGCGGCAGCCGACTGATGGACGGCCGCACCATCCACAGACGCCGTCATGAACACGCAGCTGTACAAGTCGACCACCGAGCACACCCTGTCGAACCAAGAGTGCACCACGCCTCCTGGTACCATGTACACCTCCTCCGACGTGGACAGCAGGGTCATCTGCGCCACCGGGACCGTCTCAGGCCAAGTGCAGGACGCCTGTCAGGTGGGCTGACCGCTCCCTCGCAGCAGCGGGGTGCGGACGTCAGTGGTGACCAGTGGCCGTGGCTGATGGCTCAGCGATGACGGGACCACGGTTCCACCGGCCGCAGGAAGGGAAGGAGGGAGGGCACACATTATGGAACCACGGCTCCACCGGCCGCAGGGAGGGAGGGACGGAGGGGAGGGCACACATTACGGGAGCACGGCTCCACCAACCGCAGGGAGGAAGGGACGGAGGGGAGGGCACACATTACGGGACCACGGTTCCACCGGCCGCAGGGAGGGAGGGACGGAGGGGAGGGCACACATTACGGGACCACGGCTCCACCAGCCGCAGGGAGGGAGGGAGGGAGGGAGGGCAGGACACACATCACGCACACGTCTCAACGTCACTGACAACACGTCACTGACGACAGGGCGGCGCTAGACATGCTGAGTTGGCCATCGCTTGCGAGGAGCCCAGTCACGCGTGCCACTGGTCAGACCGCGGCTGGGAGCACCAGGCGATCCCCTCTGCAGCCGAGGCCGGTCGGGGAATCTCAGCTCGACGCCGGGCCCGGGGTGGGCGGGTGAGATGGGCCAACGGTTCCCCACACGGCACCGCCGCTGTGTCGCTGGCGTGAGCACTGTGCCGGAGCCTGGCGTGCGCTGCCGCCGGCGCTGCGCCACTCGACGCGCCCCACATCAGACGCCTGTCCGGCGGAGGCCTCCCGAGCCGCGCGCGCTCGCCGTCGGCAGCCCGAGCGCGCCACTGGGCGTCTGTGACCCCACCTCCAGCTGACGGCACCGTCCCCCGGCAGGGCGACTCTGGCGGCCCCATGTTCTACTGGGACGGCAGTACATGGAGACAGGTGGGCGTGGTCTCATGGGGACGGGGCTGCGCCGTGTCCCAATACCCCGGCATCTTCACGCGCGTCTCCGGTGAGTACGAGACGGCGGCGGTGGGTGAAAGCGAGCACGCTCCGCCGCTGATGATGGGCATTGGAGCGTTACAGAGAGGGAAAATAATCACACGTTGTACGTGGCACTAACAACTCGTCTTGTGGCTTGCCCCGTACTCATCCACCACGGCAGCACGTGAGGTGTTTACTGATTGCACCGCCGCTGCGGTTGATCGCGCGACATGTCCATAGAGTCCATCGCAGTGCAGGCGCCCACAACGGACTCGGACAGTGCGACAGCGGCAGCAGTAAAAACAGCCCTGACCGCAGCGGCTGGCTATTGCAGCGTTCGTCGACTTCATCACGGCGAACTGCCCGGGCGTGTGCTAGGCGTGGCCGGCCAGACGGCCTCTCCTGACGGCCGAGGCCGCCCCCGCCCGCCTCTGACTGCGGCGCTGGCTGCCTGCCGGGACGGCCGGGAGCGCCCGCGGCCGACCACATCGGACGCCCGGCTGCCCGCCACGGACCCTCCTCTCGCTCCGGGCGACGACAGGGCGGCCGGCGGCGGCGGCGGCACGCGGCCACCGCCGCAGCCGGCGCCACCGCCCCGCCGCCCGCCCTTTGCAGAGTTACCCGCTCTGGGAGTTTCTGTACATATTCTTTGTGTGCTGATCATGGAAAAACCCACATAAATACACGATGGCAAGGCGGAGCGACTTTAACGCCACGGAGAGATTCGCCCACGCGAGGCGTCACGACCGGCTGCCAGTGCGACCGACTTACTGAAAATCATCGCCGAATGACCCGCAGCATCCTGCTCAAGGCTGCACACAATCGGCTAGCCCGCATGCCGAAGTCAGGACGCGGTACCCGACGCTGCGGTGCCAACGTCAGGTGGTGATGGAACAAGATACATCTGCAGGGCGCCACAGCTGTGCACCAGCACGACCAACACGGGCACCAGCTGAGCCGCGGCTGCCGGCGAGCGCAACAGCACCATGGGAATGTCTCGATCACAGCCGCCCATGCGGGCAGCAGCAGCGTTGGCCGAGCGCCACCACCACATGGCGCAACAGCAACCAGGCTCGGCACGGCACCTGACTAACACGCCACGATTGATGGAGCGTTGGCTCACCTTTTCGAATGCTCCGCGGTCTATCGTGTCCTTCACCGTGTCCACGTCCACGTCGGTGATTCTATAGTTGAGGTCCCCGAGCCAGAACACCTGACTGAAAAACGCCGACCGCGTGGGTTGAAGTCAATTTTCAACATCGACCGCCGGGTTTGCGGTAATTCGCGCAGAATTTTCGCATAAGGAGCATGGAACACCACAATGGTCAATGGGGTCGATTCCTCACACACGTGGGTCCCGACAAAGTCGTCCAACAACAGTCATTACAGCACGGCCACCTTCAACAACGTTTGAGCTGACTGCGAGACTGAAACACCAGGCCAAAAATAGGGGTTTGGACCAACGAAAGAACCGACTGCCCCTTCAGCTGGGTACTATTTCGATATCGCATCGCCTTTAGTAACTTGAAGAAAAAAAAACACCGCAAGGTCCTCATGTGCAATAACCAATTGCTCGCATCGCCGCGTGCGGCACGGCCGGGCCCGTTCAGCGGCCTGTCACGACGCGCGCGGCAGCATAAAGTTTTGCACGACACGACTTGCGTCTGCCGGGTCCTGGCGCGCCACAACAGCATCCACCGCGCACCAGCAGCCCCCTTCCCCCGCCCCTGTCACCTGCCCGTGTGACCGGCACCCGATCAGCACCCACTCGTGATCCTTGATGGCCTTGGGCGAGACGAGCGCGTTAAAGCGCATGCGGTGGCAGATGTCGCTGTAGTCCTGGTTACGCCGCTCGAACTCCTCCACGTGCGCGGCCAGGTGGGCGCTCACGAAGCACATGGACGTAGAGTGCACCTCCAGCCGGATGGCCACGCCGCCTTTATTGCCCTGCCGGAGCAGGCCCTCGGGTCAGGACTATGCGGCCAACGCTCTTCTGACCGCTCAGCGGCAGTGGCGACCACGACAAAAACGAGCGGCCGCCAGGGCGGACAGGAGAGGTGGGGGTCAGGTGAGGTCAGGTGAGGTCAGGTGAGGTCAGGTCAGGAGTAGTCACGCTGTGTCCGGTGGTCAGCGAGCCCTCGATGGATACAACAGAGGTGCCGGGACAAGCGAAGGTCAGGGAGCAGCCAGGACGTCAGGGAGCGGCCAGTGAAGGTCAAGGAGCGGCTACTGGGTATCAGGGAGCGGTCAGCGGCGATCAGGGAGCAGCCGGGGAAGGTCAAGAAGCCACTAGGGGAGGCCAGGAAGCGGCCAGGGGAAACCAGGAAGCGGCAGGGAGGCCAGGGGGCGGCCGGGGAAGATCAGGGAGCGGCCGGGGAAGGCCAGGGAGCGGCCGGGGAAGGTCAGGAAGCGACCAGGGTCGGGGAGCGGCCAAGGCAGGTCAGGGAGCAGCCAGGGAAGGTCAGGGAGAGGCCAGGGAAAAGCAGAGAGAGGCAGCGACGGGCAGGGATGGGCAGCGAAGGGCGGCGAAAAGCAGAGAAGGGCAGCGAAGCTGGCAGAGAAGGGCAGCAAAGAGCAGAGAAGAGCAGATAAGGGCAGCGAAGGGCGGCGAAGGGCAAAAGGCAGGAGTCGACTCAGCAGCCATCTGGCGACGGGGCAGCAGTCGTCAGGACGGGGAGCCGTGTCGGGGATTATACGGCGCTGGTGGCAGAAAGCCAGCCGCGGAGCCGCCGTCAGCCCGGTCAGCTCTGGCCGGTGCCGCCAGGACACGCCCCAGCATAGACGACACCGACTGTGACGACCGCTCGCAGCCTGCCGCACCGAGCAGCTTCGAGCGCCGCCCCGCCGCGCGCGCGGAGCTAATCGCTGCCGCCCAGTGCGCACACTCCGAACCGCGGCGCCGCCGTCCCCGGAGCGAGACGCGCGCCCGGCTCGGCAGACGGCGGCCCCTCGCCGCCCACTGACCATCTTGCCCATGATGCCGGTGCCGACGCACTCGGCGGCGTCGTTGCGCACGTAGGCGCGGTGCCGGTCCTGCACCAGCACGATCAGCATCATGCCCACCAGGCGCACCAGGCGCACGCGCTGGTACGAGGCGCGCGGGTGCAGGTTGTTCAGCACCGCCGTCCTGCCGGACAGACATCAGTACCGGTTAGATGGGCGGTTTCTGGTGTTCGAAATAGTGATCACGTGACATACTGGAAAGACCGAGCCGTTCAGTCCACACGCCCAGAGAAAACAGAGAGCGACTAAGGCGGCTGAGGTCGAACGATCGCTCACCCAGCGCAGGGCTTTTCCAAAAGCTGTTCGGACCGAGTTCGATGGCTTCATCTACCACGTATCAACTCATCAACTGCATACGTTCACGGCCCGGCTGTCCTCGGCCCAATACCGCCCGCTATGATCTGACACGTGCATAACAATTCACAAATCACGCGGCGCGTGGAAGAGTGTCAGACAAATACGATACCATTCGCCACTCACACAACCGCGGCTGGCAGTCAGCGAGCGCCGTCCCCTTCCTCGTCCCGCCCGGTCAACCGGCGCGCACCCCACTCACAGCCACTCCTCCTCCTTGGGCGACTCGGTGAAGAGGAAGGCCTCCTTGCTGAGGTCGAGCTCCTGGAAGCCGATGGCGTAGATGTCGGGCGGCTCGTCGGTACACGCCAGCCAATCGGCCACCGGCTCCGTCGGCGTCGGCGACTGGCCGTTCACGTTCCACGTGGCACAGAGCACCCTGCGGCCGCGGGTGGGGTCAGCACCGACATGCCCGCGACGAGCATGCGCAGTGACGGCGTGACGTCACCCGCCCCGCGCGGCCGCGCGCTCACACGGACAGTGACGTCAGAGCTGAGGCAGTGCACACGGGCTCCCGGATCACCTCAAGGGAAGCACAGCATCACAAAGCGGATGAAGTGGTCACATCGAGTTTTACGTCAGCTCATGCACGCGTCACTGCAGTTCATCCGCTCGGCTCACACGTATATCGCCACACTTCACCTGCCTCCGTCCGCACGACCGCGGATTGTCAGAGCCCGGACGTCCGCTGTAACGCGCACTTCCCACCCACACCCGGCACGCGCCAGTCGGCTGACCTGAGGTCGTGCACGTCCGTGTAGGCGTCCTCCTTGCGCATCATCTCACACTTGACGACCGTCTCCCGGGCGGTGAACTGGGCGCCGGCGGCCGGCACGGTCCGGCGCTGCACCGCGTCCGTGTCAGCCAGCTGGAGCGCAACGTCCCGGCCGCTGTCAGCACACGGCGCGCGCCCGGCTCCCACAGGAGCTCGACCAGCACCGGAGTCGACCGGAGGGCAACCACCAGCGGATGTCATCGCTGGACCCACCATCAGCCCAGACTCAGCACTGCGTACGCACAGTACTGTGCTGTGGGCACCATTGTCGCAAAGCACGTCATCTGCTGTTACTCTGCGCCCGAACGATACAGCACGTCGTCAGTGGTGGTGCGGTGCGAGCAGTCGGCGGGGTGCGGCGCCACAGTCGGCGCTAGTGGCCGGCCGCACCCCAGGCGGGAGCCGGGCGGCGTCTCACTTACCGCGAACGGCTGGGACGCCGGGCAGACCGGCCGACCCGGGACGGCAGGTGTCCTGCCGGCGGCCGCGCGACCCTGCGTCGTGCCACTCACCGACGACCCGGCGGATGACCGGGCGAGACCGGCCGGCCGACCGGGCGGCGGTGTCCAGCCGGCGCGCCGCGACCCGGCGGCGTGCCACTCCACCGCGACCGGCTGGATGCCGGGGCAGACCGGCCGACCCGGGCGGGCGGTGTCAGCCGGCGCGGCGCGACCCGGCGGCGTGCCACTCACCGCGACCGGCTGGAGGCCGGGCAGACCGGCCGACCGGGGCGGCGGTGTCGGCCGGCGCGCGCGACCCGGCGGCGTGCCACTCACCGTGACCGGCTGGGATGCTGGGGCAGACTGACCGACCGTGACGGCGTGTGTCAAGCCGGCGCGCGCGACACCCGCTTCCCGGTCTGCCGCACCCAGGTGAAGCTGGCCGGGCCCGGCCGGCTCGGCGGCGGCCGGCGTCCTGACGGGCGGAGGAGGCGCGTCAGATCGGACGCACTTGGTGACCGCCTCTTTGGAGGACCACCGGCCAACTCCCGGCTGCCTCGTGCACTGAGCGAAATGGCGAAGG